TTCTTTATGCTGTCTGAGAGCAGAAGATTTCCAAAATGGTTCAGGTTGATGAAGGCGTATCTTGCCTTTCCGATTCTGACTGACTTTGGCATCTTCATCCGTCCCACTGGCCTGTAGTTGAAATTATGCTTCCTGGCTGGTTAAGTGAAGGAGGTAACCTCTGTAAAATCTCTCCCATTGATGGTGACTGGTGCTGGTTGTTGCTGCTGTTGGTGGTGGTTTGTTATCTTCGTCCCCTCCGTCTCCTCTATGTTCACCTGCAGTCCTGTCTTTGACGCCTCTTCAACCAATTTGGTGGTTTTCGCCTGTATGTCTTCAAGTTTGTGTGAAATTAGACATATATCATCTGTGGAATCTAGATCTGCTAGGTCTTCTTATCGGTGGTCCAGAGTATTCCTGTCTTCTCCTTCCAGTGGAATGCATATTTCAGTCTACCACAGCTAAGAATATGACCACTGATAATAGGCAGCCAGCTAATCTTACTCCTGTCTTCACTTCAAACGCCTCGCTGAGGTTTCCGTTGTGGATCATCTAACAAGTGGCATCGACATATAGCCAGCTGCTGAATGAGGTTTATAAAGACTTGGGCACTGCCTGCCACAGTGTTGAAGCAGTTTCCAAATTACGCTTTGGTCAACGCTGTCTGCCGAAGGCCTTTTCTAAGTGGATGAAGTTGAGGTGGGAGAGGTTTAACTGCCATCCTCTATTTTGTCCTGTGATGAAGATGCGTACAGTTGCAGTTTGATCGGCATATGATTTACCTTTCCTGACTCCAGCTTTTTCTCGTCAGTGGGATGGAGTTCTGTATCCAGTGTGTCGTTTATTCTTTCCAGAAGGATGCAGCTTAGTATTTTACTTGGTGTGGGGAAGAGCATGATTCCATTGCAATTTTTGCAGACCGAAGCGTAAGTCGCCCTTCTTCGTTAGCTTCTTCTAATCAGTAGGTACCTTTTTTCTTTCCAAACCTTTTGCAATAATGGCGTCAGCATAACTGCTACAGTATGTGAGTCTGTTTTCAGTGCTTTGGGGTGAGAGAATTTCATCTGGTCCTACTACCTTCCTGACTGGCCTTCAGTGGCTTGATCGCATTCAGGATTCATGCTTTCGCCGGAGAATTGGTGTCCACTGACAGCAGTTCTGTGCGTGCTCTTGGTGATGGTGTGTTTCTGGACGAGTTACAGGCGATGATAGTCGGTTGAAGAGTCCTGTGAAGTCATCAGACCATTGATTTTTTTGTTTCACCTAGTGATAATCAGGTCACCTTGAACACCTTTTGTTTGTTTCGTCCTCTAAGTTGTCCTGAGTTTCTTATATCTTCCTGTTTTCTTCAGTAGCCGGCCAGTGTCGCAGAATTTTTTTTCTGGCACTATTCTTCACTTTTTCATTCAGTGCAGTGTACATTGGACTCATCTTCTCCTCCTGTTGTCCATCTTTGCACTAATTCATCCTCTATTTCACCACCCTCCTCTCTTCTATTAGCTTCCTGGTAGGTGCCCGTTGACAGCCATTCCTTGTCGTGCATCTCCTTTCTTCCTAGAACGATTGTTCATGTTTCCTGAAGTATCACTTCAGAGATTTTCAATGTTCTCCCAGTCATGTTTCCTCAGTGATGCCGCGTAATGTCTTCGAGTTTGCTCTAATCTGATCTCCAGTGGAGGCATCCCTTGTAGTTTTACCCTTCAGTTTATGAATATTGAACCTGAATTTTGGCCTGTTTCCATTTGTTTTGAAAGATTTCAGCTTCACCTTGAAGGTTGCCTGAAGCAGATGATGGTCTGAGCCCACATGAGCTCCCCTTTTTGACCAGCCTGCGTCTCCACTTCCTTTCAGCAGTTTTGAGATGACATCTATCAGGTTCATGGTATGTCCATCAGGGTAAATCCATATTGCTTTGTGTATATCCTTGTGCTTTTACACGCTGCCTCCAATCACCAAGTCTGAGAATAGCTCTCGGTTCTCGTTCATTACTCCGAGTCTCTTGACCTATGATGGGTTTTCTTCCCATATTATCTGCTCCTAGTATGGCATTCATATCGTCTATGAAGATTTTGATGCCACCATTGGGGTTGATGCTTGTAGTTGTCTACAAAAATCTTTCTTCTTCTGTTGTTCCGCGTTGTTTGTAGCACTGGGTAATTGTGACCTTCCTTCCTTCATTTTGAGTTGAATCTTACTCTCATGATCCTGCAGGATGAAATTGGTTCCCACTGGATTAGGGCTTTGGCTACCGCCGGTGACATCATTATAGCCACTTACTGCCTAGGTGTGTTCATGGTTGTCGTCTGGCTGACCGGAGTAGATTATTGACCCCCCCCAGTTGACAACTTTGATAATCCACATCCATTCCATCTGCCCTCGCAGATTCCCAGAACTTCTATGCCATATCCCTGCATTTCTTTGGCTACCTGGGCAGCCTTCCCAGTCTTGTACATTGTACGTACATTCCACCTCCCCATTCTTACTTTTGCTTTCATCGAGAGAAGACACATATGTTGACTGACTGGTTTCTCGAAGGCGGGATCTCACCAACCCGGGTCATTTTGCCTCTCCGATTCCAGCGAAGAATGAGAATGTTATTTGAATTTTTTGTATTTTTATATATGTTTTGTGATTTCAAGTTATTATGGCGGTTTGGTAGCTTTTGTGTTGTAGGGTTGCTAGCCCCACTCCCAACCTTCCCTCTTTACCCGGGCTTCAGGCCGGCTAGAAAACTAGCAAGTTAGTTAAGTAGGCAAGATTTTATTTATTTTTATCTTTTTTATTTTTGATTACAGCTTCATTCCACACTGTATGTTTGGTACAAGTATGGAATTTTCAGCATGGATATCAGTAGCCCAAATTTTTATGGCCGACCATAGATATCAGGTGTGCGTCGGCAGGGGATCGAACCTCGAACCATGTGCATGGTCGGCGAGTGCGTTGGTGGCACAGTGGAACGTTGAATTTATTATTCTTGATTTTTTTGTCACTTTATGTACTTTGATTGCTTTTTACTTTTGAAAATTTAAACTGCCTTGACAAGCAAATATGTGATTAGATTGTTCAAAATTTATTGCGCGAATATGTCACATTTTTTAGATAATCTCCGTTCTCCAATAACTCTATTCAAACGTTCTTATTTACCCACTAGTCCTGTAATTTTACACCTTTCAACATCTATACAGCCTATGAATTATTCTTTTTGTGACATCATTAGTTTTATCGTTTGAAATTTAAATATGATTATGATCACAAACATTTTGATTGCATTTCATACTATTATCATTTAATGTATTCACACTTTTGCTTCATTATCTTCACGGAATATAATTTCTTCAAAAGACAAATACATATGATTGTACAACTTGATAATAAATTTCTTGAAAGAATCTCTTGTCTGAATCACTTGTTTTTGTTCATTATTTCGCGAGGAGGGTGTTAAGTTTGAGAGCAATGGACATTACTTATCAGCAAGTATGGTGAATTCTTTTAACCAAATATTTATTCTTAGTTTGGGTATTAAATCCTGAGATTCATAGATTACGAGTGCATAGTTGATTAGTCCACAGGAAAACATTATTTCTTTTGAGGACTCAGGGGTTTCTGGGTTCAGTTTAATAGATATATAGCTAGTTTTATTAGTGTGATATAATATAACGTATAATAATACATATAATATATAATTATATAATATTCGCTTTTCACTAATCGTTCTTAAATTCCCGGTCTATCTACTGTTTAGGATAGACAGAATTCATTAGCTCATTGTATTATACGTCGACACTTCGCTTTTTCATGACTAATCTCAAACAGAATAGTTATGGACATAGAAAACTAACGAGGAATTGCGCAGACACCGATATGTCCAAGTCACCACAAATCGAAAAGCAACCATAATAGCTGAATTCACATACAATGGTACTACAGCTGATAAAATATGCAAAGAAATAATATATCTACACCATTCTGAAGTATTTTGGGCCATTTTACCCGCACTTTGCAATCGCTGATTCTTATCATACAGTCAAACGCAGTGAGATGGAAATGTTCTTCTCCTATTTAGCTGAAAACAACAGTCGGAGATCGTATGGACTGGTGCTATGTATTACTCAGACCATGAGTAACTCTTTATTGACTACTTCCACTATATTTAACACCGCTGTTTGAAAGAGGTAGTGCTTCAGGTATTTCACACACTCGCCAGATACCTTATTCAGTGACAACTGACGAACTCATCGATCAACTTGCTTTCATTCCGTAACATTTTACATCTAGTATCAACATTACATAATGTGTGTTTTGCATTGAATACAAGCATTAAGAGGAAGTTACGTATGATTACATATTTATTTTTCGGCAGTTGTCTTACAACATTACTTAATTCTCCGTTCAACCTCACTATATGTAGTTAGTCTGGCTCGCCTAATATAATAAGCCGAAATCATGCTTGACCCAAAGCACATAATCTTCACCTGTAACAGGATACAGAGCATTGCTGTGTAATTCCTACTATGTTATACTGCAACAACCCCATTAAAATCGGTAATAGAGCTAAGTGAAGTTTTTTTGGGTTTGTTGCTCTTTCACTGCTTTTTCTCTGATTATAATGGGATGAAGAAGGCTGTGCAAAGAAAACTAACTGTTTTAATTGAAATGTTACCGGTAGCGACAAACATAAAAGCACAAATATTTATTTTTTCATTCCTCTGCGCTCCGAGTGGAACGTCACGCTTTGAGATTTCAGTGGTGGCGGTGCTATATTTTTTTATTAAATGGGGTTGTTAGCCTCATGACTAATTTTAGCGCCTCATCAGTCTGGTTACCGGCTAAGTTTATTAGTGCGAGGGCTGAGAGTAGAAGCCGGAATGCATGAGTAACCGGTAAGCATTCTCTCACCGATCTTCCGACGCACATATATCTAAGTAAAAATTACAATAACCCACTTAAGCAGTGAGTTTAAAAATAAATGTAGTAAATACGAGCACAATTACAATAATTAGTATTATGTGAAAATAATTGAGCCGTAAACGAAAACTACAGTATGTACTGCTTATTACTATACTTCTATAGTATATCATTTTTGCTTATTGCAATGAACAGCAGATGAGAGTGAAATTAATTCATGTACATCAGATTAATCTGAGAAAAATATCCCACTAGATATATATTTTCTTTTTCTCTGAAGGATGGCATATTGTGCAAGTCTTATTTCTTCACAAATTTTAGGCATCTGCCGCTGCAACTCTGTATGCTGCACAATGGCTGGAAAACCACTTCATGAATGAGAAGCGTTTGGGTAACTTTCTGTCTTCTAGCCACAGAGCGAGAGAAAGCGCTGAAAAAAAGTATTAAAATAAATCATGGAATCGTTTGAGTACAGTTGAAAATGAAGCCTTATTTTATAACAGATAATATATTGAGGCGAACGCTACTTATCATGAATACACAATAAATAAAGTAATTGTTTTTGAAAATTAATTCGTTCTGCTTATACCTAATTTTGTTGAAGTCTGCATAGTCACCACTATTAAGATGCAACGCGCTGCATGTAGTTTCATTTAAAATATTCGTGCACTTTAATGAGTGTCAGTTTGTTGCTCCGATGTTTAAGCTGGTGATTGGTTACATTGTGGTGAGAGCAGGCTGCTAGCTAATTGGCAGACATTAGTTTACGTCAATGTTTATGTCGCAAACATTGGTCGTGAGAAAATATGAACAAGAATGATTCAACAACCAATCACAGCAGACTTTGCGTGAGCAGATACTGTTAACCTATAGGTGATCTGACAGTCAAGAGACAGTCACAAAGAGATGCAAGGTCAACTTCCTGTGAGAAACAACCAATCAGAGGAGTGTGTTCGTTGCTTGAATAAGCTATAATAATGTACATGAAAATATATAAATATGTATTGATTTCCTCAATAAACGATCTGTTGCCTGGCCCTTGTCTTCTTTTGTTACAGCATAATTTTGTACTCGTAGAGCATGCAAAAGCTCCAGGGAATTCGATAAATAGCTTCAAAAGCTTTGCTGGAGTCAACCTAATTTCCAGTATCAACAAGATGAACTAGAACTGAACTGCATATAGTTCTATTCGGACCTTTGCCAAACCAAGATTTGAAGTGTTCAGAAATTTTACGATGAATTCGCCTGATCGTAGTCCCAATATAATAAGCTACGCGCAAACAGTTAAACTGGTGAATACACATAGAGGAGGCGTAACAAAGCGGCTTGTGTTTATTTCTTGAATTCAATATTTGTTGGCTAGTGAATATACACCATAACTTGACTGCTTTAAAAGAACTTTTGAAGGTGCTTCTCATAAGTTGTGATAAAATCTTACTATTAACATCTGTTAATCGCGACATTAGGATAACTGATTGTTTTGGAAACTGGGGTCACTCTTGGCTGTTTATCTGTTAATTGCATGTGTTTTTCCGAAAATTTTGTAAAAGAGACGTTTCTACTCAGTAGATCACGAATATTACCGAGTTCTTCATTCATCGTTTCATTTAGAAAGTTGACTTTATTCTGTTAAACCAAATATCTAACCAAATTACGTTTGTATTGTAGAGGGAGGAAACTCAAAAAGTGAGTATATCGCCCAATCGATGTGGGTTTTCGTTGCAGTCGTTCTATCTGTTCAGTTAGTTGTTTGTATATTCAGAAACAAGATAGAGTCATTATTTTCTTTTCCTTTGGAAAAACTAATGACTGGATTAGCTTTATTGGATTCCTCTAGTGTGTCCTTTGACTTACAGTCCTTTCTCAAAACTTTAAATGTATCATCAAGATAACGTCAATAGAAATCAGAAACATGCATTACATCCTTGAGAGGGTTATTCTGTGGTTTTATTAGCAAAAGGTCCGACAGGGTTGTACCTAGTGACCATCCTATGGCAACACCATCTGATTTTCTATACATCTCTCTGTTAAACAGAAAACTTACGTTCACTGTACTTCTAAACAGAAGTTCTTTTGGGGAAGACACGGGAAGAGTAGTCGCTATGCCTTGCTTTATCAATTCATTACAAATCTAGTTTTAAACGATTTTCATTGGAGAACCTTAGTGCATGAGGTGCACTGCTTAAAGTTTTGCGTTTTGCAAAACGCGTATCATTCTGTTGTTGACTTCCCAGATCGATGTTCAAAATGTCAGCAAATAAAGTAACACTATCACCCGTTACGTTATACTCAGTTGCCACAAACACAGACTCCTGCAATGTATGTTACATAGATATTACTAGTCGTATAAGTACGTGTCACGCTTGATATATACAGATGGCATTTTGAAATAAACAGGAAAATTGGTGTTTAGTTAAAATACAGTGTCATGAAAAGAGGTCAGATGTTTATAGTTCCTAATCAGGATAACATGTACGTCAGTGACCAACTTAAGAGCAAACTTGGACTTAATTTTTTATTGCATCGGATGAGACCTAATTCAAGATGATATTCAAAATCGGTAATGATATATATGACTGTCAGTGAAGCCTGCTTAGACAAGAACATCTATCCACAGAAATTAGGGAGCCAGTGATTCTGCTCTGAGTTAACTGTATGCAGTCGGAGAAAACCTTCGTCTACCGAATAGGTCTAGTTTGTAGCATGTGCAAATGTAGCAGTTACAGGTAAAGCATTAACGGATACACTAATGACTTTGACCGTTTTAAAGGCACAATATTAGGTAATCCCTAATGCATTAACCATTCCGTTAAGTCCCTTCTCGCAGTAATAGTAGGTCATTGTGAGACCAATATGTTAGCAACCATTTTTATTCTCTTTAAATGTCGACACTCTGGGATAGTTTGATTTCTTGGATATTCTATTTCATTCTTGACCGGAAAATCAGTCTGATTCACCACAGAGAGCTCATTAATAAGTTACTCAACCTTCAGTGCTGGTACTCAGTATTCCCGAGTAACTTAGAGGTAATACCATGGCAATGACTGATCCCTTCCGTGAAAGAAGTCTCGAAATCTCCGTTTTATGTTATTTGTTCATTTTCTTATAACTTATCCGTTGATCGCTTTTCATTATATTTTCGTGATACACATAAATATTTTATCCATCAACTTATTCCCTATTAATTTTTTAAAAGTGTATTAGTATGAACTGTCATAACTTCATCTGACATGCTCGTCCATCATAAGTTAAGTGAATAATTATAATGTACTTTAATATTAAGAACATAGTTTTCGGTGGGTATTTACAAATCCTGATATAAGTATAAGACTTGGGCACTGAAGTAGAGTATAACTTTATTATGGATTAGATTTTGTTTCGACAAATCACACAGTTTTATTTAGTAATATTAAGTGATTACTTTTTTGAGCACAAAGTAATGCTCATAATCCAAATCATCGAGGAAGTCCAGATCCTGCAAGGTTTTTTGGTTACAGCTTGATTCCACACTGTATTTTTGGTACAAGTATGGAATTTTCAGCATGGATATCGGTAGCCGAAATTTTTCTGGCCGACCATAGATGTCAGGTGTTCGTCGGCAGGGGATCGAACCTCGAACCATGTGCATGGTCAGCGAGAGTCCTAACCGCTGTGCCACTAATGCGCTATGATTATGATTATGATAATTTGTTCTCAAAATGTCATCAATTAATTTTACTGTACAACACTGTGTGGTTTATCGAAATAAAATCTTATCCATAATGGGATTTCCAAATATCGATGGTTAAAATATTTGTAATAACCTTGGATTGATATATTGTAAATGATGTAATGGATGATGATTGGAGTTGAAGTATTCGATACAATTGGTGGATGGTAGCTAGCAGTGGAATCCAGGATGCGCATTTCGTCCTATTTGGGACTCGTCAGCTGGATGTACCTGCATTTCTCAGTGAGTGATGATGTTCCCACCGAGGCTCGAACCCAGTGGCCATGGTTTCAAACGCCAAAGCGTTATCCACTAGACGACCTGGGCCACGAGCACTTCGCTCCAATCAATCGACGGGAAAATCAAAAATTCAATTCAATAATTGAAGTATTCTAGATTACAACAGTTAAACACCTCATCCGACAGCTGCACGACAGTTGCATGCCAAGAAATCCACAACCAGAAACTCATGGAATCCTTCGAAATGAACACAGGAGTAAGACAAGGCTGGCTGCCTACTATCTCCAATGATTTTCCTGACTGCAACAGACTGGATAATGCGACAGATAGCGGGCAACGAGGAAACAGGCATAGAATGGACCCGCACAGAAAACTTGGAGAATCTGGACTCCGCCGATGATATATGTCTGACTTTCCACAAACTGGAAGATATGCAGATGAACAGCAACAGGTTGAGAGAAGAAGAATCAAAGATAGGATTTCCTTCAGGTGAACATAGGGAAGACAGAGGTGATGAAGATTCCTGGCCAACAACAAAATAAAGAACAACGGACAACAATCAGCATAAATGGGAGAAACCTGAAAGAAGCAGCCTCCTTTGCCTACGGATATGGGGAGCATCGTTTCAACTACAGGCGGAACTGACGAGGATATCATAGCGAGGATCTGGAAAGCAAGGCAAGTTTTGATTACTCTCAAGTCTGTGTGGAGGTCAACAGCACTCGGCATAAAAGACAAGATGCGGAATTTCAACTCCAATGTAAGGTCAGCGCTTCTATACGGATCGGAGACTTGCACTGCGAGTCAAGAAGAGCAATTTGAACAAACTACAGACCCCCATCAATAGCTGTCTTCGCTCGATACCACCTAAGATCGGGCGGGCAGAAAAGATCGGCAATAGTGAAAGATCTCTGGAAGCGAACTAACCTATATGCAGAAGGAAATGGAGTTAGATTGACCATACTTTGATAAATTCGTCAAGTGACATCACACGCCAGGCTCTCGAGTGGAACCCGAGCGAGAAGCAAGGAGTTGGTCATCAGTTCGAGGGTGACATAACAGAGGTCATGTGAAGAGAAGATAAAAGCATGTGGGCAGACTTGGAGCGGGGTGAAAAAGTTGACGGAAATCAGAACGCAATGGAGGCGTGTGGCTGAAGCCCTAGGTTCCTCAAGGAATTAAAAGAAACAACAGTAATAATTCTAGATTACAAAACGATTCCAGCCAGAGGCTTCTACATCGGTAGCCTTCCAGTTAAGCTACAAAAGCCAGCAGTTAAACAGACCAGCATTTCAGCACAGTCACCACCAGTTACCATCAACGTTTCTCTCTAGTGCCGCTCGTCGTTTGTCAATCAATCAACATTTCTGTGTGCATTACTCTCTCCCACTGTGCGTCTGCGCTTCGTCTCTCAAATACAACAAATCGAAGTATTACTGTTAACATCATATATATATGTATATATATATATATAACACAAGTTTATGAAGACTATGGGGCAAAATCATTGTCTGCAGATTAACACTGGAGGTAAGAATATACTGTTACTTGAATTAGTTTACAGTTAGAAACTACACACAGTGCTAAAAAAAGAATAAAGGTGACAGTAGTAGAAATTAAATATATGAAGCACTGTTCGTCGACACATCTGCAGATGCAAAAGCTAAGGTATGAAGGCTTCCAGGAAATGCCTTCGCTTATTGGGGAGCAAATAAAATCTACTTTTATACTAAATACACAAAGCTCATTGTTATTAGCATGTAACAAATGTTCCAGTGGGTTAACTGTTTTGAGGATCTTGGAAATATACTCATACAAAACAGAATAGATGATTTTATTAACAACGATCAGCTTTCCTGCCATACTTCTTGTCACATTTAGTTATATATTTAAGTAGTTTATATAGAGCTTTTGTATTATATTTCACATCTACAAAATGAACAGACTTACTAATCAAACAAGTAGTTCCTGACAGTAGGAAATTCTGTGTAGGCGAAGGGCGCCACTGATATGTTATAGCTAAAGAGATTAGTGATCCAAATGCCTTATTCAAAACAAGAAGTTAAAATATATGTTAAACATTTCATAAGTTTACGTACAGATAACTATTGTATTTTTATATTTTATTTTTACATAAAAATGTGTCAGAAAACTTTTAAATTCCTTGATTTACTCTTTCATTAACTGTAAATTCGTATACATTCAAACATTAGTGCAGCCATTCAGTGAAGTGACTTCGCAGTCATATTCGAATAAACTCAATGGGGAAAATAAGTATAGCCTAACCTGTAAAAATCATCCAGTGAAATACAAGATATGTATGTAAATACATATACTTTGGGAATACATGATGGTAACCACTGTTACATTAAACACTTGAGCTATTCAATAATGGTAGGTACTAGTATTCATTTCGGTGAAAGGGCGAACAAATTTTTGTGATTGGCTAAATTGCAGTGTTTAATAGGAAAGTTATTATCCACTACCGTTTTTAAACATAGGTGGTATAGGGAAGATAATATTTAGTAGCAGTGTAAACATAATCAACTGCTTTCATATGTTTTAAATCCTTGATGGTTTAGAAACGTTTCACACCTTTTGCGTGAAACATCCTACAGTAATTCACTTTCTGTTTACTTCCACCTATGCGTTATAACAGCTTGTAGACACTAACCTTTGGTAGTGCAGAAATTATTCCTTGGTTTAATTTTACGTATCAGAAATGTTACCAGTGAAAAATCGTCCTGACGTTTGCAAATTACGCATCATATATCCCTCATTTTCAGACTGAAGTTTGCTGAATAACCAAACTGCTTGTTTAATGGATATACCATTCAGTGTAACAATATTATTTAATGGGTGGCGTTTAGTACACAATTTTTTTCTAACCATGTCAAATAATATCAAATAATACTGTTTCAATGTGTTATGTATCCAATAAACAAATTATTATGAATTGCATACTGCAACAGTGTTTAAGTTTTGCATATATTAATCTGGAAATTCTCAAATGATCAGAAGGAAAATATATATTTCGTTCGTCAGTCATATAAATTATTTATTTTGTCAACCTTCTTGTTGAAGGACTGCATAGAAAGGTTTACAATGATAAATTTGCGAAACGTACAGTTCCAAAGATATACTTGAATCCTAAGAATGTTGTACTTATTTTTTGATTTTTATTTTTGATTTACAGCTTGATCCCACGCTGTATTTTTGGTACAAGTATGGAATTTTCAGCATGGATATCGGTAGCCGAAATTTTTCTGGCCGACCATAGATGTCAGGTGTTCGTCGGACGCGTCGGCAGGAGTCCTAACCACTGTGCCACCGACGCACATTTTTATCAGTTGATATCAATATCTGGTTACAAAAAATTACATATTAAGCAGATGTAGCCAGATATATGATATTAAACACTCATATGTTAGGGTGTGACTTACAAAACCGAGGTAAACCATTCCGTAGTTGACAGCTAAATTAGCTGGACCCAGTATAGCTCCTGTTGCCGCAGGCATCATGGAAAACACACCAGATAGGAAGAAAAACAAGCCAAACGCCCATATTGCATATAAAGTTTTCAGCACATTTCCCTTTGTATTTGAAATAAGTGGTAGAGTGAAAAAGAATGTACTCCACATAGCCTGTTGGAAACAGATAGGGATCTGAAATGAAAATGTTAGTAGAATACAGTGACAGTCATAACGTGAATGCCTTGATATTTTCTTTCATGCCTATAAATATTTCATTGATATACTGAATTACAGACGAGAATTTACTTATCTTTTATTTGGCAGTATTTAAACTAACTCAAAGAAAATATGATTGCAATATTAAGAATGAGTCTGACTGCGAGTATTGACACCACTCATTATTATCGGAAACACCACTGGAGATAGATAGTTGAGATAATAAAAGTTAAATTTTGTAATAATAGTGTTCTCTAAGCTAGTTGGTTTAGTTGCGGAGCTTTCGCCGTCCTTCTGGACAACATCTCAGCGCAATATTTAGCATAAAGTGGAATGATTTAAATTTCTTCATGAGTGATATAATTGCGTCTCCCGGTAACCATCTTTACATATGTATTGACGATTTTCCATTTATTTAGATTTTAAACTTTCTGGTCACATGATTTACTTTTTATTAGTTGGAATATTTGGTCTATATCAACGTGTTTGTTAGTTGCATATTCATCACAGTTTTTTATCCAAACATCCTGTCTATTTTGTTATTTCTACATTCCTAACCCCTAAACGCACAATGTCAATCTTCTTAGTTATTACGATGCTACTTTGTTTGTTTTATCCAACCCCCTGTTTATTATGGCATTCTAATTCCTAATTTTAATTTTATTAATTTGACCCTGAACCGGAAATTATTCTGGAACTTTCCCATCCATAAATACACAAATGTACAGCTTAGATGATGACTTCATCGAAAAGAAAATTTTCTTCGCTGCAACTGTCTTCTTAATAACTCCTATGACCTAATGTGTATATTCCGTAATTGCATATTCGTTTGAGTACCAGGCTTCTAGGAATTCCCTGACTGCACTTTTGGTGTTTCCTCTGTCTAAGATTTTGACATTATCCCAATCAAATTGATGTCCATAATTGTCTATATGCATTGATATGAAAGAATATATATTGTGTCTTTTCACGGCTGATTTGTGTTCTTGGATTCTAATTCGAAGGGGACACCCACTTTGGTCGATGTAATGCCTGTTACAGTTCATACAATTTATTTTGTAAATGTATTAATTTTATCTCCTTTTTCTGATGGATGTTTCGGTTTGCCTAATATCGAATTAAGCGATTTGACTGGTTGGTGTGCTATATCTATATCAAACGGTTTCAGTATTCTAGCTGTTATTTCAGATATGTTTCCCATGTAGGGTAGGATGAATTTTCTTGTGGTCTTTGATGATGGCTCCTTGTTGGTGTTGTTATTCAATTTTAAACACTTTTTAATGAAATTCTGTGGATGACCATTCTTTTTGAAGACCGTTAGTAGGTATTTTTCTTCCATTCTTTTCAACTCTGGAGTGCTACAATGTGTTTGAGCTCTTTTAAACAATGCCTACTCACAGTTTCTTTAGTAGATTGCTAGTATAGTTGAGTATTTGATCTGTGTGCGTTGATTTTCCATATACTTGTGTTTCTAAACTTCCTGTGTTTGTTCTCCTGATCATCCACCTGAGCTACAAATTCTTCCCTATTATTTCAAAAATAAAATTAAAACTTGTCTTCACGAAGCGGTTTCATGATTACAAGGTAGGCACACTCAACCGATGTATTTATTTAGTATTACCAATTAATTGTATAACTGACTGACAGAACTACCTTAGACTGGTTTATTTTTTAAGGCTACCAGTTTAAGTTATATTATTTTGTTTGAATGTGGAATTATTCTGAAGGTTGTACTCATTTGGCAAACAGCCAGTGAAAAAGTCAAAACTGTTGAATCTCCCGAACGATACTGCAGATACAACTGTGAAACACAGATTCATAAAATAAACAACATGACAGTAATGACCATTAAAACCACAACGCTATTTCAAAATGTACATATGAAATAAGTATTACTTTAAATGAAAAACGATCTACTATCGCTCCCCAGATAACACGACCTGCACAGTTGAAAATTGCAGTGCAGGCCATTATATTTGATAAAAATTTATCATCATTGATGTACTTTTGACCGAAAATCTAGATAAAAAATTGGTAAAATATAAATTAATTCGTTAGCCAACCATATTGTTCTCAAAAAGCTTTTCGCCTCTTATTTAAACAGAAACCAAAGTAGTAAGAAAAACTGCATAGGATTTTGATGACTTCCCAATGGATTCATTGACTAGCAGAAAAAAAAACAACAGTGAATTCATCTGATAATACGAGATGGCTGCAGACAATTGGCAGACACATCACATTAGTTACTAGTGTCCAATCAAAGTGAATTCATGTCTTTATAGAGTTAAATTTCTCAAATCAGATAGACAAGGCGATCACTTAGGAAACCCTAAGAAGTAATTTTATGCATGTGGGTGTTGGCTCATAAAATGGTTTAGAAATTTTTGCTCAGAGCTATTTTTCTATTGTGGTTTAAATTGTAAGCATTGCGGTGTACAAAATAAGAGTTACTGCTGTGTTTTCCAGGCCAGAATTAATCTTCATTGAAAGCTGATTATTTTTACAAATTACTCACTCGGTGGTAATCAACACAAGTACCTGTTTTAGTGTACCAATCAACATGCATACGTTAAAAATATGTATTGTAATGTCACACTACGGTGATGGGATTAAGAAATTGTTTCTGTGAGATTACACATCAAACATTCTTGTCCCATAAATGTATCAGAGTCCAAAAATATCACTTTAAATATTATCTGTATTTACTGCCACAATAAAATGAAATTAAAAGTCGACTATCGCTTCATCACAGAACACTTGCAGTATGTATGTATGAAGTGTTACTGATAAATATTGATTAACCAAGAAGCGTTGTGCTACAGGACTATAAGGAAAAAAGGCAGAGATGTAGTTTTTATTCGGTAATGGTGATTTTGTAAATTTTACACAGAAAAACAACTATACACTTTAAACACCTAAAAAAATTTCTGAAACATGTAATTCCTATGAGAAATATGTCCCCAAAAGCGTGACATTAGAAAATTGCTCAATATAATAAGAATCTTGATAAGTTTTAATGACTTAAAAAATAATAAAATATATTTCATACATTTATTTCCTTAATGAATTTGAACAAAGCAAGAACTACAGTTTTAGCGGAATAAAATGGTACCATTTTTATTTCGTTGCCTTCTCGTCAGCTGCTTACATGGCAAAGACATTATTAAATATATCTACAACAACAATTTTAACATACTTGCACAGAGTTCAGTTTAAACAAAAATCAATCGATCAATATACTCATACACTAAAAATATATACAGTCAGCTATCAGTCTTTCTTTGCCCTGGTAACTGGATAATTTCACCTCTCTTTCCTCCGAATGTGAAATGCTAAACGTTTCCATTGTGTTTGATTATTATTGTTCGGAATAGTGGTTAATATTGCATATTTATATATGTATATATTTTTAGTGTATGAGTATATTGATCGATTGATTTTTGTTTAAACTGAACTCTGTGCAAGTATGTTAAAATTGTTGTTGTAGATATATTTAATAATGTCTTTGCCATGTAAGCAGCTGACGAGAAGGCAACGAAATAAAAGATGGTACCATTTTATTCTGCTAAAACTGTAGTTCTTGCCTTGTTCAAATAAAATATATATTAGGTAAAGGATTCAACTAGACACTTCTTATACCTTAACAGGATAAAAGACTAAAGGTATGAAGAATTCCCAACTCATGTAATTAAGAACCTATAAATCAGCAGAAGTCCGTTTCTGTAATTTTCTTTTTTCTGACTTGTATTCTTGAAAGACTAAAGGCCAAAATGATAAATCTTGGACAAGATAGATAACTGTAATCTTTTTTTTATCGGAGAAAAGTTATTTCTGTATTCTCTCCACCATAAGGGATACGGATCTAGACAACCTACGAAATTAGGAAAAACACTGGCCGTTTTGAAGTTTAGTGACCAAATAAAGATAACAAGAGAATACAAAAACAAAGGGAATAAAAATTCTACAAATACATGATAAGAGCAAAATGTTTAGCAAAGAGACGCCTTCAGCAAATTTACTATCAGGATATACAGTCATATATATATATATAATATCTTGAGTATATCAAAACAAAGTTGTGAATACTTAAAATAATAATGTGAAATGCGCCTCCACATGCATCCATCACTTAACCTGCTTATGTGGTGCAAAGCACGTAGGCCAAAGCCACAGAATGCTTCCCTACACGTATACGAGAGCACATTCCAGCATGGCTGTACGCATGAGAATGGAAGGGTGTGCCAAAATCTGTACTAGAACACTTGATCAAATTCTGTCATTCTACTAACCTCAACCATGGTTTTAAGATCATCTGTCGAATTCCTGCTAAATTGTCTCGTTTTCTTCGTTCTAAACTTCTCAAGAGAGTGGAGACCTTGACCGTTTGTGAATCAAAAAGTATGTAAAGTTCGTCTTTCTACCTTAGCCATAGGGGGAAAAACACTTATTTTTCATTTTGTTAATTTAGTCTATGTACCTTTTCCTTATTACTACTGTTGTTAGAATTATTCTCCGGTATAATTCCCTCGTCCGATTTATTATTTTAAGTCAACCAGTTTCTCTGAAATGTTAACTTATATATCCAAACTTCTCAACATGTTTCGTAATATTTCATTTGTCTAGTGATCCTATAATTTGTCATACTTTCCCAACACTTATTTATTCTATGAACAATTCTCTAAATGACATTATTTATTTCACCACTTGATATTTAGCTTTGACCATCATCAAAAACAATTAAACTGTACTTCATATTGATGTTGTCATTATCATTTCAAGCATTCACATCAAAACAGTGCACGGATGTATATATATATATATAACTGACTATTTCACCACTTTACAGTATGAAAACATGATCTCCCACACATGGTTAAAAACTTCCAAGTGTTCGCATCATATGCCTCCTACGCATTACTTAAATCATAGTTGTCCGATACCCTAATTTCCCGTAAATTTTCGTATCCGTTGTTGCAAAACATCTTGCAGAACCGGTAACATTTGAAAAATGCGTGGCTCGTCTCGCAGTGAGGTTCACGTAAAGTAGTAGACGTGAGTTATTCTTTGGATCACTTTTGGGATTATTGAGTGTGTAGTATTAGATTTTTAAATTCTATTTTTGGTTGTTTTCGTTCTTTTTTACGTCTTCTGCACATAATCCTCATACTCCAATAACATAAACTCAGGGTACATAACCAGAGGCAGTTTATTCAGGATAAGCGCTCACCTTCAAGGAACTCGTTAGTATAGATGTTGGCAAAATATTGAGGATCATCATTGTGAATAGGAGGTAGTAATCAACATGACGTAACAACTTCCTAGGTTCAACATTAAATTCCCTGAAATAATGAAATAATCATAGCATCACGATTTTTTCCTTGTTTTTACAAATTAAATTTAGTTATGTTGGAAAACTTGATTAGTTAGTTTTATGATATAAAGTTTTATTAGCGAAATTCATTATTGGTGGATTAAAATGGAGCAGTGTATACAGTGTTTTGGTTATTTGGTCGGACTAGTAAGTGGTAAGAAAAGACACTGAATATCCTTTAGTGTCTTCCTTACATACGTTTGAACGTAGTAAAACTACTGATAATTTGACAGAGGAGACCATAGTTATTCTAGTAAACTTTAGTAGGCACGTTTTCGTTTTACTTTGTTTCAACAAAGACTTCGTCTTTCAAACATCTATTTCATGAAACGGTATTTATAATTTTATTTAGGATATCCACTGTTTGAAGTCTTTAATGAATAGTTGATTTTACAGAAATATGTCTAGGTTGAGAACTTCTTTAAAACACTGATTAGACGCAAAGGAATTAAGCACACACAGATATATATTGAGTTCGGAAACTGGGAATCTAGTCCTATCCTCTAACGTGGAATTAGAGCACTTTTAATCCAGCCAATATAAAAACATCATGTATGACTTATAAAAGTGTCATGACAGTGGGACACAGAAAAGAATCACAAAATTCATAAATGACAAAACATGGATAATTACAAAATTTGTTAAAATATCAGCTGTAGTCCGTCTTTACAGAAATGATTATACTAAAAAGGGAATGATATACTGAGAGACAACCAGAAGTTTCAAGAACTGGAGGACATCAAAGATTTAAATAATAAGATAGAGAATAAATTAACCAGAAGTTTAAGGGAACTGAAGGAAGAACACATAATTCCTGTAAGTTTATATGACGAAACCAGACCCACGGGCTAGTAAACACCATAGTTTTAAGGCGTACTCAAAGAATATCAACCTGAAGTTCTGTCAAGACCGATTATAGACATGCACAATTCGCCTTACTGTGATTCGGCCAAATGGTCGGTAACTATTATTAAACCTATACATGAACTGCTGGTGAAGTAGAGTGTGAAAAATGTTTTCGAATTTATAGACAGAGTTAAAAATGTTAACATCAAAGTTACAATCACAATATCTTCGGACATGACGTATTTATTCACAAATGTACCTCTGGTTGAAACGGTTAATTGCATCTTGAAAAAATTAAATAATAAGTCAATAAATATTAGGATCCGGTAGAAATCCTTAAAGAATTGTTACTAAGGTGAACCACGAGTGTGATGGCGAACTCTATAGACAAGTGAATGCAGTTTCCGTGGGTTTCTCACTGGGCCTCATGTTTGTCTGAGTATATTAGAAACCGGGCCTTTAAACAACCTAATCAGAAGATTCTCAACTTATTGTACGTATATGGATAATGTATTCATTCTTTTTGAAAATGATTCGCGGAGGAACTCAATAATATCTCAGTTCAATGAAGTACACTCAACTATCGAATTAATATATGAAGAAGAATCCCAGAGTAAAACTGCCTTTTTGGAAATCCTACTAACAAGAAGACCAAACGGTAGTATGAAAAGGAATATGCATAATAACAGTACTTAGGCCGGTCAAAATACATATTTTCACAGCTTTGTTTCTCTTCGGCATAACAGGAATTCGTAAGGACCCTAATGAAAGGGTCAGAGTTATTTGTTAAGAAATTGAAATTGAAGACGAACATAAAGTTGTATAAGATACATTAACTGAAATCCTCTGCCATCTAAAGTCTGCCACAGATTACATGGCCAAGAGAGTAGAAAAGAATTCCACAGTGTCTGTTATGAAAATACCTGTATATGTACGACAACCATTTAAAGGTGATAAAGCAAGTGAAATAATAATCAACAAGTTGGGGAAGCTGCTTAAAAGGATGTCTAATGCTAGTAAACAGTAGTTTATATTTTCCACATAATCGATCATGGTTCCAAAACTGAAAGACTTCGTGCCTAGGCTAGCCACCTTGAACTTTAACTATCAATTCAGTTGCTGCTGTGGAGCTAGTTATATTAGCAGTTGCTCTAGGAACTTAATTTTTCCCGTTCTGCAACAGTTACCTGTGTGGCTAAATAAATGTGTTATTAAAGCTGTTAACAGCTCTAAATCGGATCACTTTTTCTAAACAGGCCACGAAGCTAGAGTCTTTCTCTATCGTCTAGTGAGTATCGAATAAATTACCGAAGGCCTCTAGATACCGAACAGAAGAGACCATACAAATCCGCATAAGTCAACTAGATCTCTGCTTGCAAAAGAAACAGGTCCAACCACTATCACTGTCGTTTCCAGTTGTTGAACCTTTAAGTTCATAAGTTCTGTATCACTTTAATTCAGTTTAGTGTTATATTGATGCATATAATATCTTACTGATGCTTTGAACCGTAATCTATCGATATTATTGGTTCAATGTAATTTAAAACATTAAATTTGTTAATAACAATAATCCTTTTTAAATATGGTTATATAACTGTACAGCCTGATGATAAAGTTATCGAAATGAATATTCTTTGTTCACTAATCAGTCTTTTAAAACTAAATGGCCATCTTAATTCAGCTAGAACCAGTTTACTTTTAAATGCGTTCTCTGTAAGATCTATTTCCAGTCTTCCATGCCAGTTCATAAAATAACATTTTAACCGATAAATGTCATTAAAAAGGAAAACTCCGATTTCATATATATAATAATCCACTTCAGTCTAAATACACAACATCTAGAGAAATATAATGTTTTATTACGACAAAATGTTATCTAAAGGAATAACGAAATTGTTTTCGAAATTTTAGAACTTACTTTGGTTTATTCTCGGTGGACTGTGGCGTGAAACAAAATAAAATTTGATTTAAATTTAGTGAGGAATTAATTTTGTTGGTAAGCATAAAATAGTGACGAGAAGTTTCTTCAGCGCCACATGGTTTGATATACCAGAACAAAAAATAAATTCTGGTAATATGATGTAACACATATTCGCGAACTTCTTTTTGAATTTTGTTGATAAGTTCAAAAGTGTTTAATTTGCCAGGTCAAAAGACTATAAAGGTTTTCAGATAATCAATTTATAAAAGTTATTAATTATCATGAAAGTCTGAAAGCATTACTTGAACTCGTTCTTTGATGACAACCAATCATATACAATTGCAAAGAAACCTATGACACATCCAAAAGGTGATCACCGATTAACGAATCATTGATATAATTAGTGCAGAGTTAGAGTTAACCTGACTTTAACGTGGCATTTATACGTTAGTTTAGTGAATACGAAAATTAATTGTTAATTTCGTAGATTATATTTTTTAATTCAGTTATGGTTTGAATATGATTAGTATTTTATCTGACTTCGTATTCAAATTGATACTCCTTTACGCTTTTAAAAGATGTTCTTTATTGGGCACATTCAAAAGATTGTGTAACATTTGTTTACGAATGCCAAACACTCACCTGAGCAGTACTAGTTTCCTGACTTCTAGCTTGTGATTCTGAGGGTTGATTCTGTAAATTAAATGTACAAGTTTGATATATAATAAGTGTTCAACTTAAAACTGACAGTATTTTTCTTGAGATATTTTCTAAATGTTTTACGATTGGGCAAAAATAATACAATAGCATCTATAAAAGACTCAAGTATGGTTATTCGTTCAATCAGATATAGTCGGGATAGTGAATCTGCAATATTCACCTTGTGGCTTTCAAGAGATTCTTCAGTTAGTTTGTACGTACTTGTTGATGTAGAAATATAACCGTGATCGAGGAACAGGAAACTTGTTACAAGGGCAAAGTTCAAGATGAGAACGCACGAGTGCCCTTGAGTCAGCCAATCACAAAAATGAGGAGTTTTTGCATAAATTATTACGTATCTTTACATACAAAAGCTTGAAAAATCATTAAATAGGGTATTTTCTCTTATATGAGTGAAAAATATATCCCATTTATTGAGGACTGTAAGTTTTTAAATAAAACCAATTTCTATACATGTATTCATCCAGCTGACTAACTATTACTCGGTTTGAGAGGCATTTATTGCTCTTATCCTATTTCTTAATCTTCTCCAGAAACTTTCTATTTATTTAGTATGAGTACCTGTTGTAGGATGGGCAAAATCATCCGAATGGTTAACTCGATTGTGTATATATCCTAAATCCGATAAGCGGTTATATCTTGCCCATTCATCGATGTGGATAGTAGGGCAAGGCAAGACGAGTCTTCAAATAATAGGCACAAGAGTGTCGGCACTTCTGTCTCGAATAAGTTCAATGAATCCCTTCTGAATTTAGGTGTCATAAATTCCTAATACCTAAACGTTGTTAGCTCTAGCATGACCACGTTTGTATTTCTTTTTTATCAGCACTGTTTTTTCTCGACGTGATCAATAGCATCAACTCCTCCGAACACTTGTGTAACATTATTGATTTTCCATGAGGCTGAATCTAGACAAAACTGAAACCACTCCACAGCTAACACCAAGGTAATTTGTGTCTGAACACCTGTTGACCTCACTGTGGACTTCAGTATCCAGTAATGGCAAAGAAACAGTATATTCTTCAGAGAAGGTTTCGTTTTTCCAAAGAAAGTTCCTAGAAAACAATTAACTAAGATAATTATCAGCACGGCCACTCGTTCGTTCCCTACACTCCGTACATCTAAATATATATCCATCAATAGCTTGTGAATGCGTTGCAGGCTCATTGAAGCCTCGCAACTACACATACGAACACGTCCCTAAAGAAATAGTAATAAAAGCCGCTGACAGCATGAAACCAAAGGTTAGTAAGTGTTGCTTCACCTGAACTGATATGAATTTTTCTCATATTATATGGTACTTAGTTTTACTTAGTTTTCTTTCTATATCGTTTGGACCAACAGTCACCGACTGATGATCACCACTGACTCTTTTTCATTTAGCCTAGTAAACTAAAAGTGCAAGCCTTTGCGGACCATTCCTGTAGTATTTATAACTTTACATTCAACAGGAGCAAAAGATGTGCCAAAAATACTCATTTGTTTCAGCAGAACTACATTTTGTCAGTGTCTTCAGACACGAGGACTTAATTGTATACATAATCTAAATCGTTGGAGTGTTTTGTCGGTAACAACTATACTAGTGACTAACTGAATTCTAATAAAGCTATATTCACCAGCACGTTTACGACAATGAGGATCCTAAACGACCACACCAAGACTCTTGTCATCATCCGAAGAAATCCACAATTAATATTTGAGGTGAGATAATCAGGTAAAAGAAAGAAAGAACCAACCAACAAACTCAGAGTTAAAACCATTTAAGTTAAATTTGTAAGAAACGTATGTTTCCCAATGAAGTTTTCACCTTTACATTGTGTAAATTTGGTAGTAAGAAACTTTACCCATGTTTGGAGCCACAAGAATTTTTATTTTATGGGATGGAAACTTACCGCTGCTGGGGCCGGTTTCATACGAACCAATGCAAATGCTATTAATTCCAGTGCTGCTAATATTGAACCCATCAAGAGGAAAGCCGTTGGGACCCTTTCAAGGAGCTCATCATCAGTGAAGTATCTAATAAAAAGTTAAACAAGTACATGTACAGAGATACCTGATTTAAATCCGAAAATGGAAAGTAACGGTTTATGATCTGTCAGCAAAGTAAATCGGTGGCCGTAGATCATTTTATGGAAACGTCGTAGGCGAAGACTAAAGCTAAGGCTTCTTTTTCAATTTGTGCATATTTCTTCTCTGCCGCAGTTAGTGCTCGAGATGCATGCATTATTGCCTTTTGTGAACCATCTGGGAAGACATGTAAAATGACAGCTCCTACTCCGCTTGCTGAATCGTCCGCTGCAACTATAATTGGAAGTGTTGGACTATAATGTGTCACAAGCAATTCAGAAGTTATCATAGACTTCAGCTTTTCTTAAGACACCTGTCCACTAGACACTTGGTTCCATTAAGGAAAAAGATTGTTTATAAAACTGAATGTTGCACTCAAAACACTTGTGTGATATACTGGACAGTATGATACAGTCTGTACATATAAATTATAGCACCAAAGTCACATAGTTCTATTATGCTGAGCGTTCTAAATTCTAGTCCGTGGAGGTGTAAAATGTATAGATGGGGAAAATGTGTAGTGCATTAAGTTGTTTAGTTTCTCATAGGAAAACACTCATTTCCCTTTTATCTGGTTTTCAAATGTACAAATTATATGCATCTTACTACTTGCGTTAATACAGATATAACTGATACACACTAATATCAGAATCAACAAGCTGAAGAAATTTATGTTTATTAAAGAATTTCATACCAAAAAATGTAAAGTAGCCTATGATAATTGAATATCTTGTGTACCGTAATGTATGTGTTTTCCAAAAGTGGAACAGTAAGCATGCTTCTCCTTATTAAACTGCTCCTTGTACATTCTACAGAACAGTAATGAATATATACACAGGGTTTTAGCCTAAAAATTCATAATGGTTATACCTGTGCAGCAAATTTAAACATTTTGACTGAAACACATGAATAGTCATGGACAAATCTGACTATATCAAGAAAGTCACTGAACATATTGAGACGGATCCGCATGGAGAAATTAAGAAACCTGTAGATACAATAATGAATAAAATTAAGAAATCTACAGCGGATTTAATACATAGCATGAAGCCGTCATTGAGCGAGTTTTAATGGTTTCATTTAACGCCTAATACTTTTAATGCTAGTAGAATATATGGTACCGTAAAAATACATAAGCCAAGCCACTGTATTTCACCAATAGTAGATTTCAGTAGTACGCCTACTTATTATTTATCAACACACTTAACGCTAATAGCATGTCCCATTAGACTAAACTAGCTGATTGATATGGGATGAAAAAGAAATTAAATGTCATTCAATTAAGGTATAATGAAACAATGGTTAGTTTTGATATAACTAGTCTTTATACTAATATATAATAAATATGGCCTCAGAAGCAGTTAAAAGGGAGCCAACTAAGGATCCTAAACTTACTCAGAGGACGAAGCTGCCTATTGCAAAAGTTATTTTACGAAATTAGACATACCTCACATCTACTATCTTTAAATACCTTCTAAAAATATATAAACACACCGAAAGTGTGGCAAAGGAATCACCAATATCCCCTATCGTGGCAGATATATTTATGTACAGCTAGCAAAATATGGCTCTTAATACGTTTAATCCTACTCCAAAAATATGTGTGGAGATATGTGGATGACACTTTCACAGTGTTAAAAAAAGAACATACCTCTAGCTTCTTAAAAGGGAATAAAAACTCCATTTGAATCGGAAAAAATAAACAAGGAAAATTAGCTATGTTCGATTGTAAAATAAAACGAATAGAAGAAGGAAAACTGCACACTAGTGTGTACAGAAAACCAACTCATTCTAATAGATATTTAGACTTCAATTCATGTTGTCCGTTATCTGTCTGCGAAGGCAGGCTTAGTTAAGTGTTTAACAAACCGAGCAGTAGCACTAAGTAGCACAAAAAAAGACTTAAATGATGAAATAAAACAGATAGAAGAGGCTTTGGTGTTAAATAACTATCCTATAAAATTCATAAGGAGGATCGAAAAAGGCAAAAAGAAAAAGAAAATTAATTGTGAAACTAGTAATAATAACATAAATAAGAAGGAATATAAGTCATCTACAATTATACCATATAAAGAGGGGACATCTGAGACCCTAGGTAGGATTTTAAATAAAGCAGGAATTAGGGTGGCATTTAAACCTACAAACTCACTCAGAGACAAGCTCTGTAGGCTAAAAGACCCCATGGACCCAATTAGACAAAATAACATAATTTACAAAATACCCTGCAACGATTGTGAGGTCAACTACATAGGTCAAACTAGTAGGTCAGGGCTAGACAGATTATCAGAACATAAGAATTTAGCTAAGGTAAGAATGGTTGACCCTGAAAAGATAAGTAATTTAGAAAAAAAGCTCAGCTATTGCACTTCACGCATTAACAAACAACCATAGAATAGGGTGGGATAGGGTTGAAATTCTAAAAAGTAATATAGGTAGGTGGAGAGAGAGGTCAATTACTGAATTCGATCATGGGATGTACATCCAACACGTTTAATAGGAACGACTCACCACTAATACCAGAAATATGGAAACTACTACTACCAATCAAATCGAGAGAGGAGAACTAGTGGAATCATATAAACGAAGTTAGAAAGTTGTGTGGGTGTCCTGATACGATTATGAGCAATAAATCGTGCTCGAAACGTCATCAGTCAATATTTTTATATCACACTGTGAGAATTTATTAAAATAAAACTTTATGCACAATGGAATCCATGAGGTTCTTGAAGTAAATTCCTAAAAACTGTTATTCGAATCGTTTTAATATTTTGTTTTTCTTCTACAGAATGTTTATTTCTCTATAAACTCTAATGAAAGATTTTCTTTTTTTAATGCAACAAGTATCTTAATGCATGCAGTACTCAACCAGTTTCCGAGGTTTTTCTATTGTCTCGGCTTGTATATGTCTTGATAATATGGTCAAAATAAAGAAATTGTTTACTATAAGTCTCAAATTACATTCTTTTTGTTTGTAGGTCTTTGCGTTAGAAGAACTGCATCACACCAAGCCATATTACATTAAATTCCATGTAAATGCTCTTGTTAGATTTAATAATTTATTCTAAACATTAAATATTCCCTTTGCTGTTACTAAAACAATGTATGTATCCAAACATACAGTTAAAGCAGAGTATTTGAGTAAAGCCTAAGGAAAGTGGTAGTGAAAATAATGTTATCACCTTGTATGTGTTGTCAATATTTATTTTTAGTTACTTAATCAGCCTCAGTGTGTTTCATGGTGTCAAAAAAGGGTCTTCTTTTTTAAGAAATAAAATATATAGTATAAAATAAGAAAACTTCATAAAAGTTTACAAAAAATATCAAAAACTGTACTAGTTTCAACTAGTAGCTTGTAAAACTGAAGCAGTAGTTTTCAATGAATTTAAACCTACTTTGTAATTAAAGATGCTACTAAGTTTCAACGGAGGACGACATTGGCATATCTCATGGACGACTGAAATTCCTTGTTCTTAAATTTATAAAATAATCGAATAACCTTATTTCATAGCTTTATTAATAAATTGCGACTCAGATTCTGTAATTGCACTGCCAAAATGTCAATGTTGGTTTGCATGTAAACATTCGAATCAGTGGACTCTGTCGTGAAATTGCAAAAGCCTAACCACAACTTCTATTCCTTATAGGAACTTATTAAATCAAGAGAGACCTATGATTTGACTGCCGTTAAACTTTGTTCTTGAAATGCTAAAATGGTTTAACCAAGTACTTTAGTGTAAATAGTCACTTATGCTTCAAAAAGTTATATCAGGGACATTAGCTCCAAAAGCTGTCATGGTTTGATAGGTCGTTATTATCGCAAAAGCACCACAAAGCAGTAGCAATCTACTGTTTATTATAATATGCAGAGATCTTTATTTGTTCATATTAGATATTCTTCTTATAAATAAAGATAGTACTGACTGGTGTACCGGCCTCTCAGTTCATATTTCAGAAGGGAACAATAATTTCCTAATTTAACGTATATGAAAAGCTGCGCGAATTCTTTCATCCAGCTCCATAAAAATTTTTCAAAGTAAATGTTTCCAATGTCTGGACGAGCCTTTATGTAGTGTGACATTGTTTGGAAATAGTTTTAGTATTGCCTATGAGGCTAGGAATATATATATATATATATATATATATATATATATAATTTCTCTATAAAAACCATTAAGAGTGCAGTTTGCCTCTACACTTGTCACGTATGTACATCATGAGATACATTCATACACTATTTCACTGTAGAGGACGAAATGCGTGGTCCTTTCAAATACGAAACAACAAACTTATCACTTCGATTGTGGCTGTATTATTTTTTCAGTCTGTCATTTATCTAACCTAAAATATTCCTACCTTTGTGTTGGGACTGTGCGCTGGTGGTTTAATGGTAGGACACCCGCCAACCAAGTTATTGGTCTGGGGTTCGATCCCCAGTTGGCGCACTCCTTTACTGTGCTAACTACTGGCTAGGCGACTTAAAGAGGGAGGGTTGGGCATGAAGTCAGAAACTCCTTTCCGTAAAAGCAATCACTCCTACTGAAGCTTTTTAATGTCACTTGAAGCCCTATGTTTCACTGAGAACTCAAAAAATGAAATAAAAATAATCAAAATAATAAAATATTACGTTGAGAACGCAATCTAACTCTCACTATCTCTAACGTACGTCTCCCTGTTGCATGAATCTTCCATGCACTTGGTATGATACTCTGCAAATGTCTTTATTTCCTAATAGGATTAACACAGCGGTATCTATTATGTGCATGGAATTTTGGGCATTGGCGTTAGCATCACAGGAGTTTGTTATCCTCCAGTCGATTGCATGCAAAAATTGTAATCTAAATGAACAAAAAGAGAAACTACAGCATCATCTAAACTGCCTTATTCTTGTTTTTTTCTCAGACAACTCATTCGCCATTGTACTGCTTTCCCGAATGCCAGTGTGTTACAGT